GATTACTACCATAAACGAGTAACAAATGTCACGGAACCTACCGATTTTTGTGGTAATGTACGGTTGTATTCTTAACCTGGGAATTTGGACTTGCATTGAATAAAAAGTACCCATCTCACTCTGCGTTTGTTCCTTTAAACCTAGTAAATATTCTAGGCTGATTTACGACCTTTCGGCTCGTCTTGGGTTACTCTGTCTTGCCTTCCATAGCAAGGGAACTATAAACGACTTGACAACGGAGGCGCTCTGTACAAACTTGAGCCACCTGTGGTTTTACTCCGCGGTGGATCATCAATAAATTACAAAGATAAATTTAAGACAAGGACATTTCGCCACATTTACACTGCAAAGATACTTTACTTATTCTACATCTATCCGAAAAAAAAACAAAAAAAAACCCGATAATGAACTGTCGTTCAAACTGACAAGAACGCAACCTAGTGAGCAATCAAAAACGAAAAACAACATATTGAAAGTTTGTTTGGTCAAATCTACCGCTAAGGTCAAAGTTCTTTGCAACTTCATTAGAGTAATATGTCTGCCACACAAAGACAAACTGCGGACAGGCGCAAATCGTTTCGCATTCCACATTGTGCTTTCAACGATGCGCCACGAAAATTTACTTCCGCATCTTCAAAAAAATTATTCATCAATTCATCCGTCGACGATTACTTCATATTTTCCAATTCGCAGTTGAATTTGTAGCAGTTTTTCCATTGGCGACTTTGAGAATTGTGGTGCCCAGATCCTTCTCATTCCAAAAAAAAAGGAAAGATCTGAAGCACAGGGACAGTCCACTGGTCACTACAGTAACACGCAGGTCGTACTCTTGGGAGCAGGCCTTGTCGCCGAGCCATTATGCGTCGACGCAGCGTTCACTCTAGACGTCTCATCTTCGACAATCTTCGCTACTTTCGTCACCGCCTGTGCTGCCGCGTCGCTTTTACCGTCTACAACGGCTTGCGCCACTTCCGCCGCAGCAGATGCCGCTTTAATTGCTGGCGTAGAATGCTTCGAGTTGGCGATTTGCTTGGCTGTGGCGCCTGCTATCGCAGCGGCAACCGCACTGGCGGCCATACGCCTGATTTGGTCGTCAATTTCGCGGTCTTCTGTGGCTTTTTCCGTTTTCGATGTTTGTAGGTCGGAGAATTCGACGCTTTTCTTCGCTTTTGAGGCTGCCGTGTCTGTTCGCGTGTCGACAGTCGTCGACGATTCCAGATTAGCGTTATTTAAAACCTGGTTAAAGACGAAAAGTCATTAGAAATGCAACATGGCGCTGTTCATCTCCAGAACAGAAAAGTTTGCATATTTTTAAAGGTACTGCGCTTCGTAAGATCATGCTGTAGGGCGCCCACCTGCCGTGCAGGAGGTTGAGGGTTCAAGCTCCAGACCGGACCAACACTCAGGGTCTTAAAATAACTGAATAAAGGCTGATAGTTTCTAAAGAAACTGTTTGGGGCTGCGTCGGTGGGGGTAACGAAATAATTTAGATATATCAACAATATATAT